TGAGGGTTTCGCCAAACATTTTCAACAAAACCAACTTGATCTCACACTGAGCCAAGTCGTTTTCTTTTACTATCATGGTGTATGTCGTGATGTGCTCTTGTGGGTCCGACGTCCCATCATACTTTGGAATATCCGGCATCTTAAGCTTCTTTGGGATCAATTCCGATATCGCGCTTGGTTTAAACGGCAACTGTGTATACTTTCTCGAATCTTGTCCATTTAACACTGGCGCACCGCCTGGGATCTGATCCATCCAAGCATGAAACTCTTTCGCGTTCTAGTCCATTCGTTCATTCATTTCTATCATGAATCTCATGAGCTCGGTATTGAAAGGATCATTCGAGTTTTTATTCCTAGATCCGCTACCGGTCCCTCCGATTTCATCGAAACCGACTTCATCCCTTGGAGTGTTGTTATTGGTTCTTTGGGTCGGCTGATTTGCAGGAACGCTGGGAGGAACCGGAGCCCTTTCATTAGCATTATTGAAAGCACCCGATAACACCTGCTTCAAATTCGTCATTACACGATCTTCCCTTGAAAGGTGATCCATAATTGCATTTTGTTGTTCTCTCAAGATTTTGACCGTTTCGACAACATGATCATCCTCCGCATCATCAGGAATCGGGTCCCGCACATTTCGGAGCTATTGTCCTTCGCGAACCGGGGCCGCTTCATCCCCTTCGTTGCGAATTTTGCTAGTTGAATCATCACGCTGGAACACATCTTCCCATTAATTTTGCGCTCCAATATTGTAAATATTATTGACATCATTAGTTGCCATATCAAATTTTTACCAAGGAAAAATTCAAAACTTGTTAGTAACAAACGAATGGATCAAAGCAATTATGCAACTGTCTATGTCTCATGGTGGGTGCCAAATTATTTACCCGTAAAATGATACAGTTAAATTTATAGCGAAGTTTATAGACAAGAAAAATAATTTGACCCAAAAATGATAAGTAAATGAGAACAAAGATAAGATTATCAAATGAAATTAAAGGAGATAGCAAGCCTGACTAATAACTTAGCTTTTCCGATGACAAGAGTGAATGCAGTGTTTAAGTGTGCAAATGAGAGTAGTAAGACTATAGATTATAGCTTTTGTGTACAGAGTTTCTCGTGTGTACAATGGATGTTAATTTTTCTATTTATAGCTCTATTCAGGGAGACAAGATCCTCAAATCAAGCTCTTCTTGAATGAGAATAAAATCGTCATTGATGGGTGCATAACGGTTGGCTATAAATATAGATATTCTCTGTAACAACGTGTGTGGTTGCGTCCATCGCACTAACTAAGGAATTACAAAGACGTGTGTGGTTGCGTCCATCGCACTAGCTCAAGTCTAGTTAGAATTAGATCCACTTTCATTTAATATAAGGAGCTTAAATGGGGCATTTTCATATGTACATATTTTTTGGGCCACCTATTTGAAGTTATACCATATTGTACAGAGTTTTGTAAAGTGTACCTGTTCAGATCTGAAATAGTTCAATTTCTTCAATACAATTTTTGAAATTAAATTTGAAGTTCTTCTATCTTTCGGGACCCCCTACCTAGACTTGGCAAGTTTTGTTTAGTTCCCCCTTAAATTTTACGTAGTCTTTAATACCCCCAAACTTGAAAATTTAATAGCATCGACCCCCCTAGATGTTGATGTGGCAAAGAACGTAAATACACTCTCTTTTAGGCGTGTGTGAGGAAAGAAAAATCGAAAATTTAACTTCCAAGTGGGGTATTTATCAAATGTTAATTGCCGCATAATTAAATATAATGATTTATTTATTCTAATTGTATTTGTCGTTGTTTCTTCTTAATAAATATTACATATTTTATCTCAATTATATTTTTTTTAGATACAATCAATATTTGTTTTAACTGTGTATATTTTTTTCGGGCCAAATCTATAAAAGTTAGTTGAACCTCTATTTTTTTAAGCCAAATAAAAAGAAGGTTTAGCCAAAGTAATGAAGTTCAAATGGAGTATATTCTACAAAATGAAAAAAGTAGTATCTTTTTCTTTTCATGCAATGACTATTTATTTATACTATGCATTATTCTTTTTCGAGTCAAATTTATAAAATATTTGATTGGAATTTTATTATTTTTAGCCAAAATATGGAGTTCCAACAATGTTTTTTGTTTTTATTTTTTCTTCAGATGCAATAAGTATATGTTCTAACTGTGTATTTCTTCTTTTTTCTGACCAAATATACAAAAATAACTTGATTAAAATATCATTATCTTTAGCCAAATAAAAAATTATGGTCAAAATAATACTGTTCCAAATTATTTTTAACAGATTTGGTACGAAAAAATAATTTTAATCATTGGTGGACTTAAAAAGGTAAAATTATATATTTTATTGTAAAAAAATGCCACATGGACAAACAAATTTGTATGGCAACGCGTGTGTCACACTCTTATGGATTGTCAGCATCTAGGGGGTTGAGGCTATCAAAATGTCAAGTTCATAGGGGTAGTAAGGACCACGTAAAGTTTAAGGGGAACTAAATAAAAGTTGTCAATTCAACGGGGTCCCGAACTATTCTGCATAAGTAGTTCAATCTCTTTAATGGAACTTTAGAAATCAAATCTAAAATTTTTCTATCTTTCAAATGTGACTTCAAAAATTTGAATCTTTAGTAATTCAATCTCTTCAATTCAACTTCAAATCTTAAGTTCTTAAACATAAACCTGTTTTTCAAATTTCAACAATCCAACACACGATTCATTGCTCAAATCTACTCCAAATGAGCTCAAGTTTGAAAATAACTTTTAAATATCATAAAGAACAAACATCAATCATCAAATTGTCAAAACAACAACAAATTTAACAAACAATTTTGCAACTAAGAAGAAGAAAAAAGCAGTGGTGAAGAAGAAGAGAAAAATATATGTATCTAAAATTATTTAAAATTGGGTATCAGTTAAACTTTTTTTTAAAGTGAATACAAATTCAATGGAGAGCGCAAAACTCGGCGCCTCGAGAAAATTTTACACTTAAATATAGTGATAATTTAAGTTATATCCAGTGACTGAACTGCAATCAAGCGTTTATGTTAACAATCTGGTAATCATAATCTTTTGGAATAGTCAAATTAAAGCAGATTAAATTGAAGACAAGACATTGTTCCTCTGCTTTTAAATCCTATTCTTTCACAAGAAAGATTACGTTAGTCAAGAATGAAGAAAAAGAATAAGTCGGAGACAACGGTGAATGTCGAGATTCATGAGGGGCAAGTAATTACTACTTGTAGTTCACAGGTGCCTGACTAACAGAAGTGGAAAGACGTGTGGCTAAACTATCAACTTTGGCTGGCACTATATTGAGATAGACATGTAACTCATGATGACACCCTTTATTCAATGTTGGTAGTTAATTGTTGGCTTCAACATGATACAGGAGCTCTCTTCTATTTTCTCTTTTATAAAATATATAATATATATAATTATTCAATATTCGAGCAATTAAGCTGATTCATTTAAATTCCTGTTAGATAAAAATACAAAATAGTAAAGTTTAATGTGTACTTTATTATAAAGTTTATCATTCAAAAATCTTGATGGTTTTAATTTAAGGTGAAGAGATATTAACTCTCTCACTATACATATATACTCGTTGATATATGTTGTGTTTTGATATCTAAATCTAAACGGGAAGGCAAGACAGATACTTCAGAAACTTCTCTGTGGTTCCATTCATTTTTGCTTCTTTATTTTTAGACACAGGGGGCCTAATTCTGTGGCCATTCTTTCTTCCACACTTCATAGCAAACAGCTCATAAAATCCTAACTGTTACCTAAATTGTTAAGAAATAATACTTCATATACCCTTAGGTGGTCCAGTTTTTATTAATTTCATCATGTGCAAAGTCTTTTTCTTTCCGCTGCTTGATGTATTCGACTGTCCTATAAATAAATTTCCTCGTTAGGTGAAAGCGAAGAAACACACAATGACAAACGAGCCACTAATGTATGTTTTTTTTCCTAATGAAAGATCATTGTCTGCTAATCCGATCCAAAAATTCAAACAAATCATTATTTTGAGAAAGTGATAATGTCTCTATAAAATTCTTCTGTTTTTATATATTCTCCTTTCATTCTTTATCAAATTTCTAACATCTGATACTGCATATATAATGAGTTTCAAGAATATCAATGGCTAATTATATAACATGTGAGTTCGATTTTATCATTCCCATGGCTTGACTTCCTTCCTGGTTGTTTGATACATGTGGATCTTTCGAATTGGACATCTCCAGAAGGATTAACGAGGAATAAAAATCTTACCTCCATTTGAAAGAAGGATCAACGAAAAATATGCATTTTCATTAGTATGAGTGATTTTGTGTAGTAATATTAAATTGCAAACCAAAAACAAAAGAAAACCAAGCTATATTAAAGTAATGATAGAGGATACGAAATCACATCAAGTTATTTAAAGCAATATTTAAACTAATGAAACGACTTTCTAGATGCAAATTAAAGAATTTCAAGTAAAGCAAGAAGAAGACGTGAGCCAGACAAGAATTATTCAGATCGTTTGAACCAAATTTAGAAATTAGAGGATATATCAAATCATATCAAGTTTCAGAAGGGTCCAAATTATTCTTTCCCGCATCGTGACGAGTTACTCTTTAACAAGAAAAATATCACTCTGAAAATTGTGAATAGATATCGAAACTTCATACGCAAGGAATAGGGGGAAGCGTGATGCATGAATCTCTCCCGTATACTTGACATCTGTAACAGACACTTTGTAATAGCACACTTATACATTATGATCCATCGGATTGATCATTTCGTTTCTTTACTATATATTTTTCTAATAAGATATATTACGATTCTTCAAATCTAGAATTATTTTTAGATAAAAACATTTTAAACAATCACAACAAATAACTTCAAATTTTTTTTAACAACAAATAACATCAACTCAATTAGTGATATGGTGGAGCCTGGTACAATTCCCAACGGAAAATACTTGTACGATGAGTAATTAACGTTCAGAATTAATATTATTATGCTCGAAATGGGATCAAAATTTTGCTACATGACCAAGAATGGCAGACTATTATAAATCATATACTTTATCTCTGTTATCAGCAACATACTGCAGTTACTGAAAAATAATCTGTACGTCAGGTAAGAATATACAAAAATTAATCAAAAGACCAAAAATTTATCAACTGTGGTGGGGTAATTTATTCCTTCGACCCCAGCCTCTTTATTCCTATTTTCATCACCATCGTTAGCTTGAGAACTTTTTTTGCAGTGCGCATCATCTTCCTCCTCTTCAACTTTAAACACTCCCTGTACAAATAACTCCACATCAATATCTTCATTTCCCTCTATAATATTCACATTCTCATCAGACGGCACAGGGATAAACGGTGGCCTGGGAAGTTGCACAATCAAATCCCAGTCTATAGATTTGAAAAAATCATGACCTTTGATTTCATCCACAGAGATCCTCTGCTTCGGATCCCTTTCAAGTAACTTCCTTATCAAGTCTCTTAACGACGTCGCTTCGCCAACTAAATCAGGCACCTTCGACAGTATTCGATAAAACGTTTCCTTCCGATTTGAACCCCTAAACGGCGTCGTCCCGTACAGCATCTCGTACAATACAACTCCTAAACACCACCAGTCCACAGAGAAATCGTGGCCGTTGCCTAAGATGATCTCCGGTGCCAAATACTCTTCGGTTCCGACGAACGAATTCGACTTTTCGGTCGCGTCGAATTCTAGACTCGCCGAGTCAGGAGCGAGTCGAGCCGAGTGAATCGAATCATCTGGAGAGATTCCCGAGTTGCAACATTTGTTCAAAGGAGAAAACCGATTCTTCTTCTTGCTCTTCAACGCAGTTTGCTCCGATCGTTGAGGAAGCTTGGCTGTTTTTGTTTGTCGAATTTCTGGAGTTTTAGGTGAAAGTTTGGTAGAGAGATCGAAGTCGATTAGCATTATGTGACCGTTCTCTTGGATCATCACATTTTCTGGCTTCAAATCTCTATATACAATCCCTAATCCATGTAGATACTCCAATGCTAGCACTAACTCTGCCGCATAGAATCTGAAAATTCAAACAACATTTAATTTTACATCAAAAACATGTTTACAAACAGAATTCACCTGAAGAATTTGCTTTTGCAATTCATACAATTTAATATGCAAATAGAGACAGAATCACAGAAATCGACTGACCTTATAGTATCATCGGAGAACATTTTTTCAGTTTGTTTTTTCCGGAGAGAATTGAGATCACCTCCTGGACAATAATCAATGGCATATCCAACAATCTTATCCGTCGATACAACTCCTCTGAGTTTAGGCAGAAGCGGATGTTGAAAACAACTGAGCACGTCACGTTCGAGGCAAATTCTTCTATATTCACTGTCATCGCTGTTTCCACTGGCCTTTTTCTTCTCAATTGAAGCTCTCAAAATAGATTTCAAAGCAAGCAACTCACCGTCCTCTGTTTGAACCAAAAACACCACTCCTTTGGCTCCGCGGCCAAGGGCGGAAATTACCTTCAGACTCCGCAGTTCTATGGAGGGAACCTCTGGCTTCTCATAGTTGTCTCCGTCGTTCATGGCGGAGGTGGCCACAACGAACGATCAGAGTAATTTGTTGCACAAAATCTGGATATGCTGAAGTTTTAATTCTTAAACTGTATGGTTTAAAGTGTAAATTTGAGAATCTTCGGACTTTATTTTCTCGAGCAACATAGAAACTTTTGAGTCTACGAGACTTTTATATATAGGGTGAGACTTTTGAGCTATAAACAATCTTGAATGAAGTATTAAAAGATGCCCTTTATTTCCTCCTTGCGGAAGAAGATTGAGAGTGAGAATGTGGTTTATTTTATTCAACTATTTTAATTTTGTTTCAATTAAAGTAAAGTAGTATAGGTAATAATGTATGGTGGTCACGACAGTCAAAGACTTCGGGCGCAAGTTCGATTACGGTGTGGTATTCTAGAAGCCCATGTCACGGTTAACGGACTTTCCTCACCCTCTTTCCAAAATCGTATATATTACACGAGTATATTCATGGTATTATACTTCCTCATCCCGAATAGGATAATTATAGAGTAAGAATTTGAATATGAGAATCAATGCATCTATTTTTGGTATACATTTGACTCTTTGATTTTTATTTTTTTATAAACACAGATTAAATACTTTGGAGAAGGCGTAATAGTATTTGTATACGGTCAAAACCGAGGTTTGTCCTTCGTATGATTAATCGAGATTGGAACATGATGGTCCAAGGTTCATCATTGTAATATCGAGTCATGGTGCGAAGAATATGTTGTCGAGCTCGAGACCCAGAGACCGATCAAGATCGAGGTCGGTCAAGATCGAGCTCGAAGACTCAGAGACCGATCAAGATCGAGATCGGCCATGATCAAGATCGAGCCAAGAAACAAAAAAGTCATTACAGCCGCAATTAGGGGGAGAATCTCGGCGAAAATCACGGCACGTATCAAAAAGAGGCCGATTAATTAGCATATCATGAGAGTCCTTACTGTATTTAGAATTGTATCAAGAGTAGGACTCCCCTACTATATAAAGGGGGTCTGATCATTTGTAAAGGGGCTCTCAGACAGTAAAAAAGTAATATACTACTCTTTTCTCAAGGTTCTCAATACTACTCTGCTTATATTTTCTTTGTTGTTTCATTTGGTTCGAGGGCCCAAGCTACATATCTCATTTGGTTTGTTTTTATTTTTCTTTACAGTCAATTTCAATATCAGTTTGTATATTTTCTCGATTTGTGCCAAGTAAAATCACGTATCCTTAAAATCACATATAAATTCAATTGTTATCCATTTTTAGGGTAAACAGTTTGGTGCCCACCATGGGGCTAAGGACAATAGTGATTGCCTCGTGTTAATTTTTATATCACACACTGCTTTACACTTGTTCTTGTAAGCATTTTTTATTCCAGGATCAGCATGTCGAACTCTCAAGCAGTACCCACACACATTGATAACGGCCTTTGGTTGTCATGGCAAAAACGACAACGTAACTGCCCCAGGAAACAAATTGCTTCCAGTTGACCTCAACAGAGTACCAGACCCCATCGACGTCAATTCCCATGTTGCCCTGAATGCAAAACTGGGTGTCGACCCCGAAAACAGCGTCCGCAGAAGCGTTTAATCAGTCGGTCGGAACTCACAGGGCGGCAAAGAAGGCGGAATCAGCCTTCAAATAATATTCGAAATGCTGCAGGCTCAACAAGCTGCAATAGCACAACTTCAAAATCAGAACCACGCACCGAGTAGGGTCGAACCCGAGCCATCACAGAAAATTGTTCACAGGGTCGAACCAGTGCTGGGGAGGTCAAATGGGAGTGAGTCAGGAACCGACCCCACTATCTTGAAAATGTTCGAGGAGCTGACAAAGAGAATTGAATCGGGGGAGAAGAAGATTGAAGTGAATGACAAAAAAATGGAAACATATAACTCCCGAGTTGATCAAATTCCGAGAGCTCCACCGATTTTTAAAGGTTTGGATTCAAAGAAGTTCGTACAAAAGCCCTTCTCTCGAGCGCAGCTCCTAAGCCCATTCCAAAAAAAATTTGCATGCCAGAACATTTGGTTTACTAGGCGTTGATAAGTTGCACCATCATTTTTTAGACCGAATGGCATTACATTATAACAGTAGGTATCGTACTTAGTGATAAACGAGGTTTTTTTCCTAATCCTCTGGGTTCCTCTGTATCTGGTTGTACTCGGAGTAGGCATCGAGAAAACTGAAAGTCTCGTGGCCGGCCGTGGCATCGATCATAAGATCGATATTTTGCAAAGAAAAAGAATCCTTGGGGCATTCTTTATTCAGATGTTTATAATCTATACACATTCTAATTTTGTTTCCCTTCTTAGGGACTACCACTATGTTTGCTAACCATTCAGGGTACTTTACTTCCCGAATGGATCCTATTTTGAAAAATTTGGTTACCTTGTCCTTGATGAAGGCATGTTTAACCTCGGACTAGGGACTTCTTTTTTACTTTACCGGGCAGAATTTAGGGTCCAGGCTTAATTTGTGAGTGGTAATTTCTGGTGGAATCCCTGTCATATCGATATGGGACCATGCAAAGCAATTCATGTTAGCTTTAAGGAAATGAATAAGTTTTTTCCTAAGCTCGGTGGTTAGCCCCGTGCCCAGGTATACCTTTCGTTCGGGTTGACGCTTGGCCTGTGTGATTTGTTCCAGCTCTTCGACCGTTGACTTGGTGGAATCGGAGTCATCGAGAACTATGAAGGATCGAGGGATCCAGTAGCCGTCATCTTCGTCGAACCCTTGCTCCTGGAATTGGGTCGAGGCCGATATCAGTGGTTGCTATTTGGCCTCCTGCTTTCCCTTCGATCCCTTCCTTGATAAGAGTGCCGATACTGGTATTACTTCATCGACTGAAAACATTTCCTTGGCAGCGGGTTGCTCCCCGTAGACTGTTTTAACTCCCTCCGACGTCGGGAACTTCAAAACTTGGTGAAGGGTCGAGGGCACTACCCTCATGTTATGGATCCAAGGCCTTCCAAGCAGGGCGTTGTACCTTATGTCACCATCGATCACATGGAACTTAGTTTCTTGGATGGTCTTGGCCACGTTCATTCACAAAGTAATTTTACCCTTGGTGGTTTCGCTTGCCATGTTGAAGCCGTTAAGTACTCGAGCTGCGGGCACAATTTGATCTTGTAAGCCGAGTTGTTCTATGACCCTCGATCGAATAATGTTGGACGAGCTACCTGAATCAATCAAAACACGTTTAACTTGAATTTTATTCATAAGGACAGATATAACCAGTGCGTCGTTGTGGGGGTTGTAAGATCCCCTCTACATCCTCATCACTGAAAGATAAGGTCCCTTCTAGTACGTAATCTCGAGTCCGCTTTTCCCTCGTGATCGACACATTGGTGCATTTGAATACGGGCCCCTGAGGAATATCGACCCCTCTAACAATCATATGGATCACGTGCTGCGGCTCTTCTTGCTCATTCTGTCTGTTTGATTCTCTATTCTTGAAATGGTTTTTAGCCCGATCGCTTAAGAATTCTTGAAGATGCTCTTCGTTGAACAAACATGCTACCTCCTCCCTCAGCTGTCTGCAATCTTCTGTTCTATGACCATGATATTTGCACATTTTATTAGGATTTCTCTCGGCCAGATCAGTCTGTAGAGGTCGGGGCCACCTGGTGTCTTTGATGCGCCCAATGGCCAATACAATAACTGATGCATCAATGTTGAAGTTGTATTCTGATAGTCGTGGTGCTTCTTTGGGTTCGACATTTCTGTTGAAACCACTTTTACTCATGAGCCCTCGAGAGCTCTGTCCTCGATCATTTCGACACTGGATTTGCGTCCAGGCCTGCTGTTTCTCCGATCTCCACCGTATGGCTGATATCGATCTTTGTTTGACCGTGGTTCCCGGTCAATATCCCTTTTAACTTTGTCGATGGTCCTGTTTGGATAAACGAACACGGATGGAGTCCCCAACTGGTCATCCTCGACCATAATCTTTGACTGGTATCGATTATGCACGTCAACCCAGGTTACAGCTGGATATTCGATCAAGTTCTGCTTCAACTGTTGTGAGGCTACCAAACTTCGTATGTTTAGGCCTTGAGTGAAAGCCTGAATGGCCCAATCGTCGGCGACTGGGGGCAGATCCATGCGCTCCATTTGGAATCGAGATACAAACTCTCTAAGCATCTCATTGTCTTTCTGTTTTACTTTGAAGAGGTCCGACTTTCTAGTCTCGACCTTTATCGCTCCGGCGTGCACTTTGACGAAGGAATCTACGAGCATGGCAAAGAATCAATGGAGTTAGGTGATAAATTATGGTACCATATCATTGCCCCCTTTGATAAAATTTCTCCAAATTTCTTCAGCAGTACGGATTCAATCTCATCGTCCTCTAGATCGTTCCCCTTTATTGCGCATGTGTAAGAAGTGACATGCTCGTTGGGGTCGGTAGTTCCATTATACTTGCAAAGAACAAATAGGAAAATCAATGGAAGTTTATATTGATGATATGTTAATTAAGTCCCTATGAGCAGAGGACCATTAAAGCATTTGCAGGAAACTTTTGATATATTAAGGAAGTACAATATTAAGCTTAACTCCGAAAAGTGTGCGTTCGGAGTTGGCTCGGGCAAGTTTCTAGGTTTCATGGTGTCCAACAGGGGAATCGAGATCAACCCCGATAAAATCAAAGCTATCGATGATATCACGGTAGTGGATAATATAAAGGTCGTGCAGAGGCTGACGGGGCGGATAGCCTCCATAGGACGATTCATTTCAAGATCCTCGGATAGGAGCCACCGATTCTTCTCGCTGCTTAAGAAGAAGAGCAATTTTGCATGGACTCCAGAATGCCAGCAAGCCTTAGAGGAACTAAAGAGGTATTTATCGATCCCGCCGCTGCTTCACACCTCGAAAGTAGACGAACAACTTTACCTATACTTGGCTGTCTCGGAGATTGCAGTAAGTGGAGTCCTGGTCCGAGAAGAACAAGGTACGAAATTCCCTGTCTATTATATTAGTCGAACCTTAGGTGAGGCCGAAACTAGATATCCACACTTAGAAAAATTAGCGCTTTCTTTAATAAGCGCCTTTAGGAAACTAAAACTGTATTTCCAATGTCATCTAATGTGTGTTATAACAACTTATCCTCTTTGAAATGTTTTTCATAAACCCGAGCTTTCGGGTCGATTGGCCAAATGGGCCGTAGAAATTAGTGGGTACGATATTGAGTATCGATCCTGAACCGCCATCAAGTTTCAAATCTTGGCTGACTTTACCCTGCCCTCATACTCGAGGTTAAAAAAGAAC